AAACCTCCGTGCAATTCAAATTCACACTTACTACGCGACATATGAACACCCAACCGTCTGAATATGCATGCCCATCTCACCTATAGGCTGGAAAGGTTTCCGTAGTTATCGACCATAATTTCAACTCTTAACGCACACAACATCACCCATTCTGGACTCCATTAGAACAAAGTTTTCAACGGTACCGAATTAAAAAGTTTGTTCATCCCGCATATTCGTGGGTTAAATAAAAATATAAAGATAGTGTATTAATAAAACCGAAAACTAATTACGGAATCCGAAAAGTTTTGAATATCTGCTCACCTCGAGTTCGATAACAAAAGCTGTTTGTAAACATTAAAAATCTCACTTCAAAGGTATTAAAAAGTTTTAACAGGCTTATGGAGTGTTCTGGATAAGCGTTTCAATGCCGAGAGGTTTTCTACTCAGTTGGTATTAGTTCACACTTTTTAAGTCAATTATTAAAAGAGTTGTTACATTTGTGACAATGTTGTACTAATTTTTATTTTCCCGAGTTTCTACGTTTTAGTCATCTTCAGGCTGTATATATATATTTTTTAAATATAATTTAATTTAATATTCAAATATTTGCGTAAGTAGAGACTTGGTAAAGGGTTACCTGTTAGCAGAAAAATAAAATAGTGCTACAATACGCACGTGTGCACTAAGGTATGAGGTTTTAATAACGTCGAGTCGACAAGAATGCATACATTTGAATTTTAAATCCACTTGGCGGGCCGTTTATATTGGTTTATTGAATATTAAAAATTCTTTCATGTCGTTGCGGCGGGTATTGTTCCGAAAGCATATACGTCATCCGTAATCTGGGCAGCCGTTGCCAGCCCTATTATTTGCCGGTTTATTAGAGTTTTTTCTTATTGGAAATAAAAGAATTCTCGTAGCTTATCGATGCGCCCATTTTAATTTATGCGTCTTTCTTGGCCGTGCATTCGCGTGTAGACAAACTCCATTGTTTACTTTTTTTCTCTATTTCTAAAGGGTGTTTTTCGTCTCACCGAGATGTCGCTACTGATTTGTTATCGACGTTTCATTGGTGGTAATTGCCCTTGTCCAATCTATTCTCTGACCCCTCGTCGTCTTTTATCCTATTTAGTTCATAAATCTCGCACCTTAACCGGAGAAACACAATCCGACCTTTTTTTTCGATCGCATCTCGATACAACAAAATCCTTAAGTTTACGACCTATTAAAACATATCCGCCGGAACCGTTTGCCAAGAGTCAATGTAATGATACCTATTATGGCGAGCTCAGGTAACATATTACCATTATTAATCCGTGTAGCTGAGATGCCGCTCCACGCGTATGCAAAACATACACTCGTCCGCCCCGATATGCAAATCGAACCGCGATAGGAAACTTCATGCACATCGCTTATAACGCTAATCCTTAATTACCGAGCAGAGTGATTAAACTAACTCTGTGTGTCGTGGCATTAAACCTATTTCCTTCCTCTTTACTGGCCTTCTATGTTTTCCATGGAATTAAGACTTCACGCGAACTAACTTTTCGTACAAACTCTTAATTCCTCTATTACAATATCACAAAAATACATACTATGTGGAACTACTTTATTAAATAGGCGTTCTACAATATTATTACAGAATAGTTTTTATATATACAGGATGTTTCATAATATATGCGCAGGACTTCAATATGTGATAACTTGTCCAAAAATTTGAAGAAAAGTTTCTATCAACTTACCCTCTAAAATACACCATTTTCGAAATTTTATATGAAAATTTCCGGAGTGTTCCGAATTATGTCGCAAGATACAACAATGCGCTCTCTTAATTGGTCAACCTTTTCAACTGGAGTAGCGTAGAGTAGGGTTTTCAGATGGCCCCAAAAGAAAAAATCTAAACAATTAAGTTCGGGAGATCGCGGTGGCCTCCTCGACCGTTCCAACGGTCTGGATATTCGTCGTCCAAGTATTGGCGAGCAACCAAACTAATGTGGGCCGAAAGCTCCATCATGCATAAAGTACATGTCTTGTCTTACTTGAAGCGGTACATTTTCCAGCAGTTCCGGCAGCACTTCTTCTAGAAATTGTCGATAATCTGCACCGTTTAATCTGTTTGGTAAAAAATGTGGGCCTATCAAATGATCATCGACGATGGTAGCCCAAACATTTACGGAAAATTGTTGCTTCTGCAATTTCATGTGGATTTTCTTCTGCCCATAAGTGGTTATAGTGAAAATTGGAAATACCATCCTTCGAGAAAGATGCTTCATCCGTAAACAGAACTTCGGCTCCAAACTCAGGATTTTGAGCTATTTTGATGTACAAAAGCCAATCTTGGCAGAAAATTTCTTGGCAATAAGGCTTGTACTCTTTGGATATGGTAGGGATACAAAAGTTGTCTTTTCAAAATTCTCCAAACCGTCGAGTGAGATAGGTTTAAGTTGTGAGCAATTTTGCTGGTACTTGTGATCGGATTTTCGTCAATTTCGTTGAGGACAGCCTCTTCTACTTGGGGATTTGCAACTTCCATAGACCGCCCATTGTCAGCAGTATTCCTTTTAAAACTTCTGGTACTGGGCGATCAGAATGTCTTTCTTGAGCTTCTGCCGAATTACCGCATTTCGCACATTTCAGCGTTTGTGTAATTCATTTTTAATTTTGTAATACAAGTTTACTTTTTGCAGGTACAAACTAATTGTTATTTTGACAGGAAGTAGCTTTTTTTATAAAATTTAAAGCCTACTTGTTAAAAGTAAATTATACAATTTTTTACACAAACGCTGAAATGTGCGAAATACATTGTTCCTTTCAAATACATCCTTTACGATTTGGAGAATTTTTAAAAGACAACTTTTGTATCATTTTTTTTTATTTTGCAATTATGAAGTTAACGCTTGTTTTTGTTACTTGTCCTAACATTTTAGTAAAATAAATTTTGTATTCCAATAAATTGACCGTATATGTTGCAAGCGACCGTTAAAGAAAAAAGCTATCGAGATTCTGCCTCGCCCGCTACGCGACCTCGGCTTAATGATAAAACATTGTGAGCTTTGTTATACAACTATTTTATATTAAGATAATGAAGATGCTGGTCGCGAATTCATATGGCTGAGATTATTTATAGCCGAGGTGTTATAATCGACACCCTTAAAGAAAATGCTATTGAGGATTTGCCTCGCCCGCTACGTGACCTCGGCTTATTAATAAAACATCATCATCTTGTTATACAACTAATTATTCTATTTTAAGATAGTGAAGAAGTTGGTGATGAATTGTTATAGCTGAGATTGTTTATAGTCGAGGTGTTGCAATCAACCCTTGAAGAAAAAAACTGTCGAGGCTCTGCCTCGCCCGCTACGCGACCTCGGCTTAATGATGCCACATCGTGATCTTTGTTATACAACTATTTTATATTAAGACAATGAAAATGCTGGTCGCAAATTCATATGGCTGAGATTATTTCTAGCCGCGGTGTTATAATCGACACTCTTAAAGAAAATGTTATCGAGGATTTGCCTCGCCCGCTACGCGACCTCGGCTTATTAATAAAACATCATCATCTTAATATACAACTAATTATTCTATTTTAAGATAATGAAGAAGTTGGTCGTGAATGGTGTTATAGCTGAGATCCTTTATAGCCTAGGTGTTGCAATCGACCGTTAAAGAAACATGGCTCTCTATCAATGATATCTCTATCGAGGAAAAATTTCTTTCTCACACAAAACTTAGCTTGTTATGAGTAGAAAATGCTTACAAACGCTGTTTTCTGTACAATAAACGGTTCCGGAGATATTTGCAAAAAACGATTTTTTTAATTAAATTTCAACACCCTGTATCTCAAAAATGGTGCATTTTAGAGGGTAAGTTGATAGAAACTTTTTTTCAAAAAACTATCATATCCTGAAGTCCTGCGCATATACTATGAAACACCCTGTATATACATAAAATATATCTACTTTATATATATATATATATATATATATATATATATATATATATATAAATATATAATTTTAGCATTGTTTAGTCTCAAATTGTACAGAATAACTTACTGAATACGATAAGTACCCACAAATCATCTTTGGCAATGGAATAAAAAAATTAGTGGTTTTTGAAATATTTTGTTTCAAAAATAAAATGGAAACTATTGGATCTACTGCGCTGTGCTTGATCTTAAAATGTATACAATGACTTATTGAACACGATGAGAATATACAATCCATCTTTGGCAATGAAATGAAAAATTTTCAAAATTTTTCAAATATTAATGACATTTTTTTACTAATTACTTGTTATTTTATTATGATCGTGTATTCATTGATAAGAGAAACAAAACTCGGATTGTTTTAACAATAAATAATATGTCTCAAAGTATAAATAACATAAAACAGTAAATAATCAAAAAAATCATTAAAAATCGAGTTTAAATTTTATATATATTAAGGTGATGACATAAACAATTAACGAACACTCGGTGTAGGAATCTTGAGACCAGATTTTGCACTTTGCAAACAATAGAGAAGTAAGATAAGTCGACAAGGGAGTTATTAGTACGTACTTGTTACTGATCCACTCCGGCAAATTTCAGATTATGCGCTTAATGCCTACGTAATGGATAATATCCCAGGGCGGTCTAATTGTAACGTAAGTCGGTTCTTGGGGTTCCTCCGGAGATTATATGTTCTCAAGATATTAGAATGAATTTATAAACACCTATCAAGGATTAGTAGGCGTGTAGATTCAGAATCCTAGTTCAACTAGTCGTAACGTTACGTTTCTTAGCTGAAACTTTTTTACAATGACATATTTTAATTGTTTCCTGACTTGAAAGCATTGTTACCGAGCAAACACGAAATCTTCAAGATTGTATCGGGGCACTAACAAGCAATAGCAAAAAGGTCGTAACTTTTAATGGGGAATATTTCATATCGCGATCAATCGCTGAAAGTTCGTTAACCTTAGACGCATTGAAAAGGCCGTTGCGCGACCGATTAATTGTAATTTTGTTTCAGTTGCGTGCTCAACGGTGACTGTAACCAAATGCCAGGCGGCCCTGCGAACACTACAAGCATTCCCATTCTTCAAACCAACGTGTCTCTGTCGAGAACCACACGTGGACCCAGAATGCAACTCTTTCAGAGACTTCCTCTTCGATCACCCTTGCGTTTTCGTCCTTAAAAAAGGTAAGCGAGAGACTTTCCTCGCCTCACCGTGCAGAATCTAGACTTTGATTCAGTCAATTACTTAGGAAGGGCCTTATGAAACTTTTACCTTTCCAATTTTCCCCCGTGCGAAGACCACTTTGCATTAAAACTTTAGTCGTTAATTAATCACTCTAAAGCTTTGCTAACATAAAGTTTCCCGACTCAAACAATAATTCATTCCGGACGGCTCCTTTATATACCTATTGAACCAACGTATCGGTGCTTTTCCTTTCGAGTACTTACAAATTTAATGTACAATTAACCAACCTTTACAAGTACTTGTTCAAATTACACGCCATTTATCGGTTTATCTCATTAAATTAATTAATTTTGAAACCAACAAAAAAAAGTAGTAAAAAAAGATAGTTTCGTTGGATTAATCTTTTGGGGGTGCCCAATCGGTTCCACAAATAAGATTGTTCGCGTTATGTTGAGATAAACGCCTCCGGTCAGACAATCCAGAAATTTATTACCTGGAACATGAAAATAAGACCACGGATCAAGTAGCGGAGATCTAAATTTACTGCGAAGCAGCCCAAATCAATACGAGAACCGTTGCTCTGAGCTTAATTGTCTTAAATTTTGCATCCGATCACCACAAAGACACGTGTTTCGATCGGGTTAATTATTCAACGCGATCGAAAGTGACGGTCTTTTTTTCACTCCCGTGACGTCCTGAATAATTTATCGGTAAATGGGAGATCGAATTCCAATGTCTCCGTCAGAATGCGACGTCTTTGTCGACCTCCGACCTCGCTTCCTCGGCGACAATAAAAAAATCTTCTTTTTTTGGGTAACGTGTCGTGAAGCTTGATGTAATCTGCCCTGATTCCGTTTTCAAACTTTTACCTTCAAAATTCTATTTAATATTTGTTCTATTAGAAACAATATCAAAGTTATAACTTAATTTTTAAGTAGACCGAAAACTTGTCTGTTAACAACGAAACTATCTTATTAAAATTACTAATTAATTAGTCCAGCAAAGGCTTAAATCTTTTGAACCTAATCGTTTGAGCTTTAAATTAAAATGTTGAACATGAAAGATCATCGCCCGAAAAGCTTTGTTTGCTTGTCTGCCTCTCTGTTTTCACGTTGAAATTTTCCCGTCCGAGGAAAGGAAAGCAAGTGCCTTTGAGTCGTTGACTTTAAAAATAGCCCAAAAATTACCTTTGAACTCGAAACTTGATTGTTTTATCACAGTGTCAGGCGTCGTTAGAGCTCACCTGACGTTGGCCGTTCGCGAGGAAAACGGTCTCGTCCCCCCACTTTTTTGTAAATCCCATTCGTTCGTGGCATGTGCGCCCCACGTTTTGGTTGAACGCATGTTCCCTTTGATACTTCTGTTTTAAAGACTGATAAACCAAGCGTATTTAGATAAAATAATTTATGCGCGAGCAAATTTCGCGTGACGTATCGTAACTAATTTCATATTCCTACCTTCTCCTACCTATAAGTTTAACCCCAAATGGCAGGTATTACCTCCTCTCGTAAACGCAAATCGCTTTTGTGTGAGCTTATCTTAAAATTACGAGGAATTTTTAAGTCATTGAACGAAAAATTATAAAATGTAAATAAATTGTAGCATGGTCCAAAATTAATGTCAAACGTAATTCGAAAATTATCACTGCTTGGTAGGTCTCTAGTTTCTTGAATTTTTCATGAAACACTTTACTGAAAGTTCCATCATCTCGTTTAATAACGTCGCTAAATAATTAAATAGATTCTTTTGATTGCTACTCCTTGAAATGACTTTAAAGTTTTTATAAGATTTTGGCCAACTAACTCTTTTTAATATAAATAAATTTCTTTATATTTTAAGATAAACCCCTCTTTATTAATTATTAATAAACTAGGAATTATTGCATAAATAATACGTCCCCATCAAATATACACACGATCGTTAGAAGTTCAGTTAAGGAGATCCAACTCTGGAAGGGCATAATCGGGAATACGGTAGGTTTCAAAATAACGAGGACCGAAGTTAATCTTTAAACTAAATAATGAATAATGCAAGTCGTGGTCGCAGGATAATGTTCTTTGCGGCAGTTCTCGAGGATCGTGTGGCCCTCGAGGGCGGCGGGACGAAGTTTCTAGTAATTAATTGCCGAGGGTTACAAATCTTAATTATTGTGTAATTCATACCACCACCGAAAGGTATAAATCAAATACGGCTAATTGTTTTCCTTTGTCCCGTCGGTGGTGTGATTTGTGTCGATAAAAACGAATGCCATCCCGATAGGTTTTGATGAGAGAATTTCCAATAATTCATACTTCGACATTAATTTGGAGCCATAAATATCAGTCCCTGCAAATGATATCGTCAGAAATGCGGTCGAATTCTTTCCAGAAAAAGATCCTTATCCGGTAGACGCCCTTCCAACCTGCAACCACGCGCTGTCGGTTTGCCAGCAAGAAAGAAAATGCTTGAAACTTTACGAAGACTTCAAGGCACACTGCAAAGTTCGAGAAAACAAGTGTCGAATGGAAGACAGGTTAGATTTTGGTCAATTTCCATGTCGGAAGCAAAGACTTGGTTATATTTCAGAGACCTCTGCCATGAATCTTGGGCGAACCTACGTAAGTCACCAATGTTTGGTTGTATTTGTCCTAACAACCATCACATGAAGAAGAGATGCGATCGCATATTCAGCATAGTGAACCACAATCCGTGTGTGGGTAAGTCCATCCTTCGGCCATCCTATTCACGCCCCGAGTCCACATATCAGCATGGATAACACTTTGAACGTCGCACCAGACAGACGATCACCGCCCAAAAAAGCACGCGCACACTGCCCGTCCTTCCTCAACCGGGTTTGTTTATGTTTCAGACATTCTCACGTTATCCCTTGGCCCCGACTCTACACCCGCCGACCCTGACCGGGCCTTCTTTCGGAACTTCTGGTCACCTCCCACGAACCTCTACCCGTACTTCTTGATCCCTCCTACAACGCACGCCAATGTTCATGCCTCCGGCACCTATCGCACGCATAGCACTGGCACAGGCATAGATTTCCACACCGTAGAGGAGACGCTCATCACCTCCTTACAGTATCCAGACTTCGACGAGACGGGTGAGAGCGACTTTTTCTACCATCTTCGGTTTTATCTTGCGTTTATTTTATTTATGGAAGAAGTTGAAGATATTTAACATGCTTTATTAATTCAACGTAGTTACGAAATCAACCCAACTACAGTGATTAACTATGTTATTCATTCACTCCCATCACTCCGAAGTTATATTCCTTTTCCAGTCTTCTGATAATCAATCTAACAAAAAATCGCATCAACTAAAACTAGAACTAATACTAACTTAGAAGACGTCTTCACTTTCTCAAAAGACTTAACCCGAAATAATTCTAAGTCTAGTGTTAGTTTTAGTACTAGTTGTAGTGCCGAGGAGCTACAATTAATGCCTCGGCTAAACTTTGCGGAAAATTTATGATTTCGCCCGGCTAAGTCGAGGTCGCTTGCGGCCGAGGTTCAATTAATATCATATCAACCTGAAACTAAGCAACACATTACATTTACAACGCATCGGCAGCAAGCTTCCTCGACTTTAATTAAAGTAGAAAATCTATGACTTCGCCCGCCTAAGCCGAGATCGTTATCCCGTAGCTCCACAGTTAATGCCATATCAACCCAAAATCGATCAACACATTGCGACGCTCCGACCGCAAGCGACCTCCACTAAATTTAGGGCAGAGAATGTATGACATCGCCCAATTAAGTCTATAATTCCAATAATTTTGTAATTTTTACCTTAAATGAAATTAGTTACTGAAGTTGGGTTTAAAGTTTAATCAACTTCTTCCAAATAGCACCAAATATATTGTTTTTGAACTCTCTATTTCTGGCGCGTTTCTTCAGTAACCGATGATAGCCTTCTAGCGCGCTGGTCTGTACTTTTTTGGTACTGTTCTCACTCGCGTATTAGAATAGTAGTCAATCAGCTAGCGAGGAACGTTTCAGTAAAAGATGATTTCAGCGTCGGACAACGCGTCTGCCTCATTTGACAACGGGCTAGGCAATTCCATAGTAGAAAACCCGCTAGTTGACGCGGCCAATGGGATAGAGGCGCACGCTAACAGCGACCACATTAGCGCGACCGTTCTCAGCAACAAAGGAAAATCAACAGCTCCAAACATCAGCCACTATGATGAGGAACAGAACGTCAGCGCCGCTGGTCATCAACAAAAATATTCAAGTAGGTATTGAAAACGGCGACGCCTCAATCATATCTCTTCTAATTAATCGGAATTATATATAAATTACTTAGAAGAGATGCGTTCGGTGAAGCATGTCGTTTTTTATTGAAATTTTTTTCCGGAATATGGATAGTTTTTTTTTAATAAAGTACTGCAAGCAGAAGGAAGCTTACTTTCGAGAGTAGATTCGTCGGCGACGTATTCAACTTGTCGAGCTGAGAGAGCATGCAAACATTTTTTCCCTTCGATAGTCGTTAGCGTTTTTTCGAGATATTCCCCTTGTTTTTTTTGCCGTTTTGTCATCGTGCGTCAGCTCAAATAGGAATCAAAATTGCACAGGGTTATCTGCACTTGTTACCAAAGGCACTGGTAGTCAGATTTTTTTGCATGCGGTCTACAATTTTATTATGGGTTTTTAAAAATTTTTAAACTCTCTTTCCATTTTTTCTTTTCATTACGCGATTATCTTTATCCGAAAAAATCGCGAGAAATCAATAATTAATAATAAGAGATATTATTAAGACGACTATTCGAAATAATAAAATTCGTTTCTTCTGGATTTTCGATAACTTAATGTGGACAAAGGTTTGTTTAAAAGAATTAATTTTAGGCTCAACCGATCATGCTCGATCTGAGGCAAATGAAATGTCTCGGACGATATTTCAAAGTACATGCCACGTGGCGATGGAAAGTTGCAATGGGAACTACAATTGCAGAATGTCGCTGGCACCGATTTTGCATCATTGCGACATGTCGCGGTGTAACCGGAATTCGTGCATGGAGGCGTTGCAAGCTTTCTATAGAAAGCCGGGATTTCCTTGGAACATTGAGATCGCCTTTTGCCTCTGCAAGTAAGACCAGCACGACAAATCGTTTCTCCGAATCGAAACGACACCTTTCGCTTTTTACTTTATAGGAAGACCGACAACAAACTCGATACATGCATGATCGCTCAAGAAAAACTTCATCCTGTATGCGCACAAAGGATTGAGGGTGCACCCCAACCTACGTGTTTATCCCTCGCGGAAGCATGTAGAGAAAGCAAAGAATGCCGGTAAGTGTGTATAGCAGCGTTTCTCAACCTGTGGGGCGCGCCCCCCTAGGGGGGCGTCATAATTCTACATGGGGGGCGCCAACACATCAAAATGAAAAAAAAAGATAATTACTAATAAAAAATTAATGTCATTCTGACATTCCAAAAATTTAAGTAAGTACAGTACACATTTAAACTAATACACTCGTACTACTACCTATGTATTTAATTACTATAAATATGATTGTATCAGTAGGTACTGTCAAATGCCAAATGAAACTAATAATAGACTCATCAGTACTAAATTAAAAGTAGCTGTAATGATTATAATTATTAGTGACTCCCTTGGGCCTGTCTCGCACAGCAAAGTTTTTCAAAAGAAGGTTTTATATTACAAATAGCCACTCTCAGTTCTTTGATCTATATTCAGTCGAGTCCTATATTTTGTCTTTAAAGCAGCCACCGCAGAAAATCCGGCTTCACAAAGGTAGGATGTTGAAAATGGCAATAATATACGAAATGCTCTTGTTTTCAGTGGAGAAAATGCATCATCCACTCCCGCCCAAAATTCAAAGAGAGTTTTATTACTAAATTCTCTCTATTACTAAATTTCGCCCCTTGCAGTAAAGTGTATGAAGATTTCTTCTTCTGCAGTTGAGAGACCTTCGTGAGTAGTTCGAAATGGATCCCTAACCCACTCGTAACTTGCTACCAATTTGTCGTCAGCAAGAAAATACTTTTCAAAATTCTGTGCCAACATGGCTAAATGACTTTCTATTGTTACAAAAACAACTTTCACATACTGTTCTTCTTCCTTGTATGTTTTGACACACTCATTCACATTTGCAAACATTTCTAGTTTTTTTTGTTTTACATTTCTGCTCCACAGCTCCAAATTTCTACAGAAAGTACTAACTTTATCACTGCTATCCAACATATGTGTGTTTGCTCCTTGGAGTTGTAGATTCAGGGTATTTAATTTCTCGAATATATAACCAATTTCATCACAAATAAAGCATCTCGAAACTTTTTGGCTTCCAGGCGGTTTTCCTCTTCTAGAAAAGTGGCAATTTCCTCTTTTAACTCATAAACACGTTGTAGAAATTTCCCACTCGATGGCCTCACAATAAAATAGCAACGTCAAATG